GCATTGACTGAATATCCAGTGCAAGGGGGTGGTGTCTGGCCATAGGGGAATCCTGAGCTGCTGCTACCCAGAGTCAGAGCATCTTCAGATTGGGAAAACTGAGTCAGACTTGGCAAGGCCTGGCATCCATGGTGATGGGCTTTGGGGTGGGGGAAGAGGGAGAGAGAGAGAGAGAGAGAGAGAGAGAGAGAGAGAGAGAGAGAGAGAACCTCTATGGCTGTCTTTAGTCCCTTGAAGAGCCCAGGTTGCAGGCACCTGGGGTTCACCCTGAGTCCCTCCAAGCTGTGACCCTGGCATACCTAATGCTCCCAACCTGTACCTGCATATTCAAAATAAAACATTAACCAGTGGATGTCAATCTTCCTCCCCACATCTGACTTTTTTAAATGCTGTTTTCGAAATGATTCTCCACTATATTTTCAGAACTCCATGTCTGCTGGCTCATCCAGACACCTGGTATTGATACACTGTGTATCTGTGGGAACACTGTTTCCTTGGGCCTTCTTGTCCAACCCAGGAAGGAAGGTGGTCCTGAGGACTTGAAGCTCCCGCCTTTCCACTGGTGTGGTGGCAGCATCAGGCAAAATAGGCATAGAAGAAAATATTGACACACATGAGGAAGATGGCGTTGAAATTACACACACGGGTCCAGAAAGCACATTTCTGGGGTGTTTGGCCATCACCTAGAAGAGGGTGAAGCAGGCCAGTGAGTGTTGAAGACTAACTATACTTTAGTGTCCATACTTCCAGCCCCAGCCTGGAGGTGGGGTAAGGAGCAATGCCAAGGTTACCCACGTACCTGTTTTGGTTCTTAAGGACCAGTTCGGAGCCAGAGTCCACCAGGTGAGGTTTTCAATCTGCAGAGAAAAGGTACAAGAGGCATGGAAGGACAGAGCAGTCCCAGAGAGGATGCTGGTCAGTTAAAGAAGGAAGCTTAGTTCAAACAAAGACAAAGTTCTGGGGCAGGAAGGGTTAGGACTCAACCGTGGGAATACCTGGAGTCAGAAAGAGGCAGAGATCTGGATGTGAGCAGAGTCAGGAATCCATCAGAGACAGGTTAGGAATGGGGCCTGTGGTAACTGGGGTCAGGAGACAGGACTGCCTCACCTGTCTTTGCTGAGGGGGCGGGCTCAGTAGGCTCCCAACGGCCATCACAGCACAGGTGAGGAGGAAGAGGGCAATGGCAAAGTGTAAGTAATGTATGCTGCGGAGAGGGGCTGGCCGGGTATCTATTTGGCCGCACGGGGGCTCCGGGTGCAGGAATTCCAGGACCAGCCTCAGGGCGCCCACTAGCAGCCCAGCCATCAGGCCCCAGAAGGCCCCCTGGGGAAAGGAGAGACAGAGGAAGATCTCAAAGGACTTGAGGGGTACCCTTAAGGGAAACCCCCGGCGGATCTGTCTTTGCCACCCACCTGCTCATTGGCCCTCTTCCAGAAGATGCCCAGGATGAAGATGGCGGTGACAGGGGGCGCCAGCGAGCTGGTCACTGACTGCATGTAGATGAAAAGCTGACCACTGTTGGAGCCCTGCAGGACGGGGATCCAGGCTACGCTCACACCGATGAGCACCACGATGACCATCCTGTAGGCGGCAGAGGCCAGCCCTGCCTCAGCTCTGCACCCTGCCCCCGCTCCCCAAAACCTGCTTCTGGATCCCTCTGCCCATTTCAGCACAGGCCACTAAGAACCAGGAGCTCTTGCTCCTTTTCTTGCCATGGTTCCCTGCGGGTCACTCAGCTCTGCTCCTGTCTTCTCCGCTCTGTGTGCCACATCTACAGGCATGCACGTGCTTGGGTCTCGCAGTGCTTTCCTGAGCTCGCCAGGCATTTAGAGACAGTGAATGACATAGTGGCTCTCACATTTGAGCCAGCCTGGTGGAACTTAGAACACTCAGGGATCTTCTGACTTCTTGGCAGAAACCGCACCATCCCGGAAGTCAGCATATCCCTGGCTCTCTGCCTTCAGTCCTTCCTTGGCGGGTGACCCCAACCTACCCACTAGTGGCCCGCGGGCACTTCGCTCCTTCAAAGGCTTGCTGGAAGGTCGTGGTACTCTGGAGTTGGCTTTGCAAACAGCTACCTACCCCTTCCACTCGTCCCATGCTTGAAGGACCTCAGGGGCAGTGTGGATCTGGGGGCCTTGGGGGAACCTTGAGGCCTCGAAGGTTGCGCCACCCTGCTAGTGCTGCAATCCCACCTGGCTGGATTCTCTCCCCCCTCACCCAGAAGTGCGATGGGCGAAGCCCATGTCCGGCACCATGCAGGACTGAGGAATAGTGTGCAGGTAGGTGGGTGGGCCCCCCCCCCAAGCCTTCCCACTTTGCATCTGGCCAGGCTGGGGGGCAGAGGGTGGCAGAAGGAGGAGGTGCCGCTTTGATTGAGGTTAATTAACCCTTAGACTGGCGCACAGCTGGGCGTGGCCTCTTCAAAGCCAGGCGGCCTCCACTGACACGCCCTCCACCCTCCAGCCGGAGGGCCCAGCAGCTCCTGGGCCTTGTGTTCTCACTGCGAACCATCGTTCAAACCCAACCCCTGGATGAGGAGGCGTCTGCCACTTCCTAAAACAGCCTCCAGGGGCGCGTTCACAGTCAGTCTCTCCTAGGTGGCTGGCACCACACCAGTGTGTGTTGGGGAGGAAGGGGCTCAGAGTCCTCCATATTGCCCAGCTGGACATAGAACAAGGGAAGAGACAGAATGGAGCAGCAGGGAGGGAAGTAAAGAAGAGGGGCACCACTGTCCGTTCACAACACCCCAACTTGGCTACCTGTGACAGCTCTCCAGCTTACAGTAAGAACGACTATAAAGAGGGGAGACCAGAAAGACAGGAGGCTTGAGGGCCACAGGCCAGGCTGCTAAAGCTACTACAGTCCCAGGCCAGAGCATGGGGTACCCACTGTGGGACAGGGAGATGTCCAGATTCAGGGCCTAGAAGCTGGGAATCTGAAGGGGCTTCTATCAAGGAAAAAGCTGTCTCAGAAGGACTAGCCTCTGGTCACACAGCAGCTGCAGAGGCTGGAACAGACAGGTGGTCAGAAGTCATGTGATCAGATCTGGTAGATAAGAACTTGAACTGCTACAAAAGCCAGAGGCTCCCTGCCTACAGATGAGCTCATGACACCCTGACTCCCAGGCATGCCCCAACAGGGCTCTTCTCACAGAAGCTGGCTGCTTTGCATCACAGGGCAACTACTGGGAGAGCCCCTGCCCCAGGCCTGGCAGCCAGGCTCCACGAGGAAATCTTCATTAGTGGGAAAGGAGCAGGCACACTAGGTGCCCACTCTCCATTGCTCTGGCCTGTCCCACCACACTCAGGACCAAGCACAGGAGTAGGGAAGAAATGTCCTGCAGGGGGACATATTGTGGTCCTTCACTCGAGGGAAGTAGCTGGTGGTGATCTGGAGCATAGTGGGGACTGCTCACTCTACAGAGGACAGGACTCTTAGCAGAGGCCATAGGTGGGCTGAGTGCTGGGCTGAGTAAGTTAAAATTGAGTGGCAGGAGAAAAGGACAGGTTCTCAGAGGCCTGAGACGGGCACCCCTGTGGCCTGGGTGTGGCCGGTTTGAGGATTAACTCTGGGATTCATTTAGGGTCGCTTGAACAAACCAGACAGCTTAGAAAGATCTCTGCTGTAGTTGGGGAAGCTGACTCCCATAACGGGGTGGGGGGGGGAGCTCGGGATGACAAATGCACCCCAGATCCTTTGGCCTCTTTCTCTCTTTGCATAGCAAATTCCTACACATCGTTCAAAACCCAAATCTGGTGAGGCCCCCACAGGCAGATAGAAGCCCCTCCCTGCTGCCTCTCCCATACCGTCCCACCAGCAACAGCTCCCGCTCTCCCGCGCCGGGCCGACACTGCCTCCAGATGTCCATGGTGAAGAGCGTGCTGCTGCTGTTGAAGATGGAGGTGAGCGAGGACAGGAGAGCAGCCATCATCACGGCGATCATCAGCCCTCGGAGACCTGAGGGCAGAACAGAGCCCCCCCACTGTGACCCGGCACTGCGGGGGAGGGAGGGCAAGGGTGGTGGAGCCTGAAGCCTGGAAGTAATTACCCAAGGCTTGGGCTGTTCTCAGTTCTGCTGTCTTCTACCTTCTGGAGATCCTGAGCTGACACACCATTTTTCTTGTCCCAGTTTCACTGGAGGAAGGATCCAGCCTGCCTGGGTGTGAGGAGCCTAAGACAGCTTCAGGAACAGGGGCAGAACGGTGGGCCAGGGGAAGCAAGCATGGGACCCTGAACTGGGAGGCCACACCTGGTCAGACAGTGACCTACTATGATGGAACTCCCTGCCATCATACTTCCTGTTCACAGCAAGTTCCAGCAGGCATGGTGGATTACTTCTTGTCTCTGGGAAAGAGCTTTGGTGAAGGAAGGCATAAGAAATCCACCCTACTATTTCCTCTGAGTTAGTGGTCCCTAGCCAGGCAAGGCAGCATTTTGGGATTTACAGGCTCCAAAGGGCTCAGAACACTCAGTGCTGTGGTGCTCAGTCTGGTCACCTTCTATGTGTTCCCTCCTCTTTAGCAGACAGACTCCTTGCCTCTACCTTCTATTCCTAGAAAGAGGTGGTGGTATATAGCCTGACCTCAGTTCTGCAGTATGACTTCCAGGCATCCTGTGACCTGCTCTGGTCACTACTCAGACTGACTAGGATAGGGCTCAAAGGAAAGTGAGTTAAGTCATGGTTCCCCCAACATTTACCTGCCCTGCTCCTTGGTATTTAGGAAGTGGGTTGATGTGGTGTTTATTGTACCCATTTCTCAGACAGGGAGCTCAAGGCTTAGAAAGGGCTAGAGACTCAACAAATGTATGTCAGTGCTAGGCTGAGTCCTTGGGTCAGTATGGAAGGGGAAGTGGGAAGCCTGGGTGGGAGTCCACAGGATGGTCAGGCCCTGTGCCAGCAGTGTCCCTGTGTCATTAGGCTTAATCCTGGCAACAACCCTTTAGGTGGGTAGACTCGTTATCCCCAATTTA